ATATAATGCATGATCCCTTTAATTTAGATGCACACATAGTAACACAATTTATGTTTCCGCCCAAATTTCGTTCTCGATTTCATAATTCGTAATTTTGTGTATTTGTTTCCTCAATTATGCATATACATTGAAGATTGTGCACTCAATAGCCGTAGTTGCTCAATTGTCTTTATTACTTATTTGAAGTAGATGGTACATGTGCTTATTCTAATTAAACTCTCTTCATCAATTATATTATTATGTTTGCGTAATGATTATTGAATATTATTTGTGTATTTAACCTATAAATTTTTAAGCATTCTTTTATAAATTTTAAATTGATAATATATCATGTTGTTCTTTCTGAAGAAGCACAATTCTATAAATAATACGTGGCTCCTAAAGAGTTATTGTTTCTAAATAATAATTTGCTGTTATTTCTGGAATAGCACAACATTATAATAAATATTCTTAAATAATATTACTTGCTCTTGAAGAGCATGAATCATATTTTTCAATATTCCAGAAAAATATTGACATATTGCTTTTGAATGAGAAATAATAAATACAACGTGCTCTTGAAATTGCATGTGTTTTGAAAAATATATCATTTTGAATTCATGTTTATCCCTGAAGGATAACATGTAATTAATGTCATGAGAATATTGATTAGTTTGATTATTTGAATGATATATGATTATATAATGTTTAATCGTATTCTTCAAAATTAAATAATTGAATTATATCTTATATTGAACCAGAAGTTCAATTTGACTTTATTGTTTGACATGACCAATTGAACCATCACTGGATCAATAATGATGCGAAATTAAATATTCAATGAAGAACCGGAAGATTCTTCAATCCAATGAAATCATATTTGATGTTTGTTCTCTTTATTGAAAATTGGTCATTGATCATTACTTGTTAAATAAGGATTGAATTCCCTATATTTCTGAAATTTAATTAGAGTCATATATGGGGCTCCGTCACCTCCATGTTGACCATCTAGATATTATTTGTATTTAATAGATTTGATACAAATATTAGATGATTGCATGGTACTCGCAACCTGAAATTTACCAAAGTGCTACTCAAATTATGAGCATAATTTTCAGATTATACAATTAAGACGGTGTGTCTTTTTAATACTAGTGATCCTAAATCTCAACTTTTTAATAGGCGTTAGTTGAGATGTCGATAAATGGTTTAACATTATTGTTTTTTAAACGCTTCCAATTAATTTAATTGATAACTAAATACTTCCCATTTCAGTTTAGGGAAAGTTATTACGTATCATGCCAAAATCATAGTTCTCATAGTTATAACTTGGCTTATGGTCAGAGTCTAATTTTTTCATCAAATTATTACGATAGGGCAGTATATGTAAAATTAATCCACCACAATGCACTGCGGTGAAAGTAAAAAATGCTGATAATAAATGTGTAGTATGAACTCTTATCCTAAATGTGTGATATTTTATAATCCAGTAAAAATTATTGTCAATTCGATTTGACAATTCTCTCTGCATTAGGGGAAAGAATTAAGAAGCTAAAAATAATATGCAAATGCATCATTATTTAAATTTTCGCAAGAGACAATTTGAACTAGAAGTTCGAAAGATAATTAATTTAGATGCATTTACTGACTAAAGGGATTAACAATCTCACACACCAGCTTTAAATGCTTCAAATCGAATTGACTCCTGGAATGACAATTCGTTAATATTATATTTGATAAATTTATGGCACGTCTGAAGCGTGATTATATTCCAAAATCCTCCAAACGAAAATGAATCAATTGGTAAAGATGATTTTATTAAGGAGACATATACNAATATGAAATGTACGACTCTTTACAAAGTGAATTTCGCTAAGACTTATATAAATAGATAAATTATCATGTGGTGAATGTAATCACAAGTCTATATTTCATTAGCGTGACAATATATAAAATTTGATATGCTGTAATAAATAAGATTATAGACAATTTATGATTTTGATACTATTTTGCACCCCTAGATATTATTACCATATATATCTCTATTCTTTTCCTATAAATATAGACCTTTAGTTCTCATTATAATACACACAAATATATTAATTTCTCTTCCTCTCTCTTTTTACGGCCAAATTTAATTTCTGCCCTCGGTTTTGAGCTGAGCAGCTCAACCACCCAGTCAATCAGGCTTCGAATTTTCGTACATTATCTCTCGTGCCCATATATTCGGTTAGATATATTTCCCTGTCAAGTCGCCTCAACTCAACGACGTCAACACCTTCAACTTCAAAGACGTAAATTTAGACTGTACTAATAAAGTCCAAAAAATATCAACATAAACATTTACTCGTAAAGAAATTTGTGTATGTATACACAGAAGTGTGCTGTTAATCGGGGCCATCTAGTGTATTGACATTTTGGAGTGTTTCGATAGAGACTCAAAGCTTTTATTTTTGTCCTTTGTTTTGGATTTTTCAAGTATTGAGTTTTGGAATTTTTGATATTGTTAAGGCTTAAGAATGTGGAGAGTTGCGAGATCTGCGGCGGCTAGTCTCCGACAATCGCATCGGCGGCTCTCGACAGCGATTCCTGGACCGTGTATTGTGCATAAGCGTGGTGCTGATATTCTCCACGATCCATGGTTTAACAAGGTCTACTTTATTGCCTTCCTGTAATTTTAATTGTCTCTATTGAAGCTTATTTATGATTAATTATATTCAATATACAGTTTGAAAATTTTCGAGTTTTAGTGATTACATAGTTGAGATCTTAATTTTTCGTTAAAAAGTTGAAGTTTTACTTCAATTTGTTGCATCTTTGGCTTTTTTATTCCATAAAATACAATTTTACGTAGTTATATTAATTTTCAATTTGTTAGTCTATGAAGTATGTACTATGACAATCATGTGATGCGTGAAGTCTACTGAGCCATCTTGGCTTGAACTCGAGAGTGAATGATCTTTCAAGCGCCATGATAAATGGACATACCTGTCCATCATTTCCCAATCTAGGGTTAAGGCATTGAAAACAAAATTCATAATTGAATTGATTTTTGAATGAAAGTTCAACTCTAAATCCCAAATCATATATGCTGCCAAATATTAACCCTGCATTTTTATGGCTAATGAGACTCTGAAAAGCAGGACACAGGTTTTCCTTTGACAGAAAGAGATCGGCTAGGGCTACGTGGTCTCCTCCCACCTCGTGTGATATCATTTGAACATCAATATGCTCGTTTTAGTGAGTATGATAACTTCTAAGCTCCATTTTAATTGCACTGCAGTTTTCCTGTCTATTTATTATTTGGATCTCCAGCATTAACTGTTGATTATTTGTCAATTGTTATTCTAATGCTCCCCATCTTCCGTCAGGAAAAAAAATAAAAGGTTGACAAACCATTTTTTTTCCCTTCGGAATTGGAGCGGACTCCACTAGACTCTCTAAGCAAAATTAATGGGAACCTAATAATATATGATGTGATTCAAGTAACGGAATATATGATTGTCTATTTAAAATCTACATTCAAGTTTTAATTCATATCTCTCTTATATCTTTTAGGTTGTAACTTCTTTCGACATCTCTTTCTGCATATATATCTGTCTGATAATGGTTGTAGGGTGAAAAATAGATTTAAGGTTGTGAAGTTAATGTTGACCATTCAACTGTTTGTATTGTTAGTGGAGTCATATCAATCGCTGGAAAAGAATACTCAAGGTCAACATGAAAATTTTGTATCATTAGCAAAATGGAGGATTTTGAATAGACTACATGACCGGAATGAGACATTATACTACCGAGTAAGTTTGTGGGCATGGCTCTTGTAGAGGATAAATATTCATTAAATTGATGTAAGATAAAGTGACCCTTTACCATCTTTGCAGGTCCTGATTGATAACATCAAGAATTTTGCTCCAATAATATATACTCCAACAGTAGGATTGGTATGCCAAAACTATTCTGGATTGTTTAGACGTCCACGTGGAATGTATTTCAGTGCCAAAGATAAGGGGGAGATGATGTCTATGATCTATAATTGGCCTTCTCAAGAGGTATTATGTCAAACTTGGACGCGTGTTCATTATTTTCAACCTTGCCAGCAGAATTACATTTTTCTGGGTTGGAAAAGCACTGAGAAAGAAAAAGATTTCTCATACATAACTACTTTATCCTGATAACCATAGGCATCTTGTGATTTGTACTTGTAGTCCTCCTTGTATAAAGTTGTTATTGTTCTACAACCATATATTCACCCACTATTGCATCTTACTTTCCCATCGAATTATCTCTTCTTTTAGGTCGACATGATTGTGCTGACTGATGGTAGTCGTATTCTTGGTCTGGGTGATCTTGGAGTTCAGGGAATTGGTATACCTATTGGGAAGCTTGACATGTATGTTGCAGCTGCTGGCATCAACCCCCAGAGAGTATATCCCATTCTTCTTCTTCTTCTTCTTCTTCTTCTTCTTCTTCTTCTTCTTTTCTGTACATGTGCACGAGGCATAAGCAGGTCTATGTGATGACATTTTTTTATGTCCACCTTGATACTTTCGACTAACCAGCCACAAAAACTAGTGCACACATTGTGCCAGACTTATTAAGGACAAATAGGGTCAAACATGAATTTCATCGTGTCCTTGTATCATATCATCATGTATATTTCAGAGATCCACGCTATGTAAATATAAATATGCATGCATGTAGGAATAAATGTACATATATGGGTACCTCCGACGTCCACACCAAAGGTGACATAGAAATACATGTATGTACATATGAATGTAGTCCAAATACCTGTGCTTGTGTGTCCTTGCTGTTTTTGGGCCGTCTTATTTATCGTCTACTAAATTTATGCAGTATTTAATAGATTTAAGCGTGAAAATATATCGATGGTTCCTTGAGAACAGAGCTTGATGATTTTCATTATTGAGCTGTATTTTATTTTATTGTATTTTATTTTCTGTTTTTCTCTCTATGCATTGATTTACTTAGACATGTATCTGCCAGATATTGCCAGTTATGCTCGATGTTGGTACAAACAATCAGAAGCTTCTTGAAGATCGACTTTGTGAGTTGATTTATCTAAGACAACTCCTGTTTTGACTTTCATATTATTCTTTAATTTTCTTTTCCCAGGTTTCAGTCTGTTGCCAGCTTTCATTTCTTGTTCTTGCTTTGACCACAGTCATTTTTTTATAAACCATGCTGCTTCAATCAGACTGATGTACTCTTTGACTCAGTAATCTTTACTCTGTTCAAGTTTTCATAATTTTCTCATGGATCTGATTTGGATGAATACACTGGAAGCCCGGAGACCTCAATGGGCATTGTGCAGCTTCCTTAATTGCCAATCCATCCTGAACTTTTCAATAATTATCAATATGCTATCCAAACTCTGTCACATGTTTGATTTTCCGAGCTAAGCTTCAAAACCTGTAGATCGACTAATTTCTAATCCCAAAGTTTAACATGATTAATTTAAACTATATTCCAATTCTGAGTTTATCTTTAGTTCTAGGTATAGATATGAACTCCTTCTTTCCCCTCCTTTTCATAAAATTGAAATGATTGAAGTTTTTGTCTTTCTTGGTTTATCTTTAGCAAAGAAACTGGAGATTAGATGTAGCAAAAGCTTTGAACCCTAGATTTTGTAGGAAATTATGTTTCACATGATCGTAGTTTGGCAGATTTAGGACTGAGACAACCTAGACTTGAAGGAGAAGAATATTTGTCAATTGTTGATGAATTCATGGAAGCTGTTCATGCACGTTGGCCGAAGGCTATTGTGCAGGTCCATTAGTTCTTAATCTATGAGTTTAGTTTATATTTTTGACAAATACTGTACTAATAATTTGTTGGTTGGAACAATCGTGTCAGTTTGAGGATTTCCAAATGAAGTGGGCATTTGAAACACTAGATCGCTACCGTAAAAGGTTTTGCATGTTCAATGATGACATACAGGTAAATATTAGAATTAGCTCATGCTATAATTGCTATTTCTTTGCTAGGATAGAATATACTTATTCAATAAAGACTTCTGATTGTATTATTGTGCATGGCATATTGTAACTATCATTACCTATTATAGGGAACAGCTGGTGTTGCATTGGCTGGGCTACTTGGCACAGTTAGAGCACAGGGACGGCCATTGACTGATTTTGCAAACCAAAAAATAGTTGTGGTTGGAGCCGGAAGGTAAAGCGGCTGTATTTTCATGACATTAATTAAAAATAGAAATGATCCCTGGAAGCTCTTCTTCATTCTCTTACCCTACTGTCTAAATTGCAGTGCTGGGCTTGGTGTTCTTAAAATGGCCTTACAGGCTGTTTCCAGAATGGCAGGACCGGAGGCAGATCCTCACTTTTTCCTGCTTGACAAAGATGTATGGTTTCACAAATTTGAGCAGTAGTTGATTTGTCTTTAGTCATCTCGAAAGGTGCAGTTTATCAGAGAGTTCATCAATACTATTATTTGGAAAAAAACATAAATCATAGTGGATAGGCAAAAAGTCAGTACTTTATTATCTTATTACAAAATAATGGTCTCTTTTTTCCTTGATAAACATATTACATTTTGGCTGTAGTTTGTTATCCCTTCCCTCCAACCAGGGAAGAGGAGAGAGAAAG